TAGAGCGAGAGAGAGAGAGACAGAGTACAGAGAGAGAGAGAAGAGAGACATGAGAGGAGAGAAAGATCAGGAAGACAGAGGACTGAGGAAGAGGAGAGAGACAGAGGACAGAGAGAGAGACAGAGGAGACAGAGAGAGACAGGAGAGAGAGAGAGGAGACAGATGAGAGAGAGAAGGAGACAGGAGAGACAGAGAGAGAGAGAGAACGAGAGGATCGATACGAGAGAGAGACAGAGAGAAAAGAGAGACAAGCAGAGCAGAGAGAGAGAAAGAGAGACATTAGAGAGAGGAGAGAGACAGAAGAGAAGACAGAGAGAGACAGAAGAGAAGAGAGATGAGACGAGAGACAGAGAGAGAGACAGAGAGAGAGAGAACAGACGAGAGACGAGATGAAGAGACAGATGTTTTACCTGAGCTGCAACAGGGGTTTAGGGTTAATCGCTATCTGGTTAACCGGTCTGGTTTAGAGCAGGCAGCCCGAGCCAGAGAGGGAACGCGCTGCCTGATGTTGAGGCCTCATTCCGCCTTCACTTCCTGTTTCACTGCAGAGCGCTTGAAGGAGAGAGAGACCAGGGCAGAGAGATATTGCTTTTTTTTTTGGTATTTCTATATCTTTTTTCATTGATATTTTTTTTTTTTTTTTTTGTTTTGTTTTTTTTTTTTGTGGATTTTTTTGATGAGAGGCGAGTGGAGCGGAGAAAGACAGCAGACAGAGAGAGAGAGAGACACAGAGAGAGGAGAGAAGAAAGAGAGACAGACAAAGAGAGAAGACAGAGGAGAGAGTGGAGAGATGAGAGAGAGAGACACGACAGAGAGAGAGACAGAGAGAGCGAGAGACCAGACAGAGAGAGACGAGTATAATTCGAGCGAATGTCGTCGACTGACTGTTATAACGCGAGCGACGAGAGACAGACAGACAGTCAGGAGAGACGAACAGAACACGGGGAACATGATCGAGGAGAGACAGAGACATGATGAAGAAGAGAAGAGACAGACAGACGACAGACAGACCAGAGAGAGAGAGAGACAAGACAGAGACAGAGAGAGACAGAGGAGAGACAGATGAGAGAGACAGAGACAGAAACAGAGAGAGAAGAGTGAAGGATGAGAAGAGAGACAGACTAATGGGCATGATCGAGAGCAAGAGAAGAGAAGAAGGACAGAACAGGATGAACTAGCGAGAAGAGACAGAACAGGTAGAGCAGCAGGTAAGTGTCTTATTAAACTTTATTTATCTCACTAATACTAAATAAATCATTAACTAAAATAATCAAATAATCATGACAGACCTTCTTCCCCTAGGCGACAGCGCCATTGATGTGTTAATGTAGGCGATCCTCGCAGCGGAGGCGGCTCCAGCTTGGAATGATATAGGAGAGGGTCAGGGGTACCTGCTGACCTCCGTATCACACGTCGCTCTTCAGGAACGAATCGACGGGACGAAAACGTCGAGAGAGCCTGTTGTGCGCTCCGAATACACTGGAACCCTGCGAGAGGGAAACCCACAAAGAGATCAAACTCCCATCAATAACATATCTTCATAATAACTTCTCTTACTTCTAAATATCCTGATGCTCTATCCTTGGTTGTGTGTGGTGGGGTGGTAGGTCGTAGAGCAATAGGGAGGCTGGGACGTCTACAGTCTTAGAGCGTAAGTTTAAAAGCCCAGTAGCCTCCCCCTTCTGCTTCAACACTATATCCTGGAGAGAACAAACATTAACTCATAGAAAATTAAGTATGTTTTCATTATTTAAATTATTAACAAAGTATAAATATAACTTTTATATTAACATTATTTATGTTATATAATATAATAAGTAAGATCGTATTATATAACTATTTCATATTAAAGATAGATACGATTAGATATAATTTCAACATCTCATCCTTTCTCAACCATCCGTTGCTCCGCTTGATGTCCTATTCTGGAACCAGCATCTCTGTTGTGCTAAGCCGTTTCACCAGTTTTCTGCCTCACGAGCAGGGGGCGGGGTTGGTGGCAGAGAATCGCCGGGGTGGTGTGGGGGGGTCTTTACTTATGTACTAATTACTGGGGACAAGATGTAAAAAAAAACATGTATTAGTATCACTGGCTCGCTACACTACCCGGCTGTATGAGCTGCGACTACCGCCGATATGAGCGCACTAACCCGCCGTCATGAGCATGCACTACCCCGCCGTCATGAGCAGCTTGCCACTACACGCCTGTATGAGCTGCATACCCGCAGTATGAAGCTGCTAACTACCCGCCGTATGAAGCCTGCAATCTACCCCGCCGTATGAGCAGCTGCACTACCGCTGTACTGAGGGCTGCAGCTACCCGCCGTATGAGCAGCTGCATTTAACCCGCCGTATGACTGCAACTACCCGCCGTATGAGGCTTCAACTACCACGGCCGTATGAGCTTGCTGCCACTACCCGCTGTATGAGCTCGCTACTAACCCGCAGTATGAGCTGCATCTACCCTCCGTATGAGCTGCACTACCCGCCGTATGAGCTGCTGCACTAGCTGCTGCACTACCCGCTGTATGAGCTGCCGTATGAGCTGCACTACCTTGTATATAAGCTGGGAGTAGTAGTCGGTGACTCCATCCAGGCAGGCGTTTCCGAAGGAGCCGGTGAGTCTGGAGTCTCTGCCCAGAGAGGAGCTGCCGTACGGGGGGAACAGACTCAGGTCCACCCCCAGAACCGGCTCCATGAGGGGCAGCACAGACAGCTGGGGGAGAGGGGGGGGGGACTGATAATTAATCAGCTATTCTAACAATCAATGAATCACGTCACTGTTTAAAAGACAACAGAGACCGACGAGGAAGAGCAGGGAGGTGCTGTCGGTCTACCTGTGTGAGGTGAGTCAGCTGGTCCAAGGAGGTGGTGGAGGAGTGAAGCGTCTTCTCCTCTTCCTCTTTCTTCCTCCTCTTGTTTTTAGGAGGAGCTCGGTCTTTCTCCGGCCGAGCTGGTCTCTTGCAACGCTGAGTCGTCTTCTTCCTGCCGGAGGAGTCCAGGAGGTCTGGACTGTTCACCTGGAGGACAGAGGTAACCGTGGTAACAGGAGGTTCACTGACTGAAAGCTTTAAACTGTGTGGAGGAGAACTTCCTACAGAGAGCTCACTGTTCACGTCTTTCAACGTTAACCCCCTCCTCACCATGTTGCCATGGGAACCAGGTCTGTCCTCCTCCTCGGACCGGGCGCTCTCATTGGACAGCTGGCGGCGGGCGGAGGGCGGGGCTTGGCCGGTGGGCGATGGCGTGGCGGCCGGCGACGTCTTGTCCTTCAGCAGGTGTCTGAGCAGCTCCTTCCCTCCGTCTCCCCCATGGAGAGGAGAGGGGGAGGAAAATCCCCCAACTCCACCGTCTTCCATCTTCACCACGCCTCCCCCACACGCACCTCCCTCCTCACGCTCCTCCTGCAGGGAGCACGAGGACACAATACTCAGACCCTGAGCTGACACACAAACATGATTATTGATTCTGTCTGACCTCTGACCTTGACCTCCAGACGAGCTGCAGACGGGGGACCTCTCAGAGACTCCATGCCCAGGACGGAGCCTCTCTGCTGGGCTGCAGAGAGGACGGACAGCTGCCTCTCCAACTCCGAGGACGGAGCCAGAGCGCAGAGGGAGGAGCTTAGAGAGAAGGAGAGATCTGATTGGTCCATGCTGCCCCGAGTGGGCGTGGAGCAGGAAGTGTCTGAGACAGCAGGAGTGGGCGGAGCTGTGATGTCATCAGAGTACGAGGACAGCGGCGTCCTGGCTCCTCCTCCACCATCGTCCCCGTCCCTCTTCCTGCTCCGCTTCTTCTTTGGTTTGTCGTCAGGGATGATGTCAGAGTAGAGCTGGGCGAGGGAGGCGGGGCCAGAGGAGGAGCAGGGGAAGGAGGGGGGAAAGGGGGTAGAGGGGGAGGAAGAGGAGGAGTCGTGTCCGTACCGATGAGCCTGACCAGGATTGGAGGGGGTCATTCCTGCCGGTCGTACCGGTCCCTGGGCCCCCGGGGGCCCGGTGTGGCCTGAGAACCTGGGTCTGGGTTGGAAGTTGGAAGGACCCAGATCCACGATGCCGTGCTCAGCTGTGGCCCCAGACTGCAGACCTGGAGCCGGATGAGGTCCCGGGTGCAGGGGTCCTCCTGGGAAGCCCTGGTGGAGGCCTGCCTGTTGGGGGAATGACGCCCCCGTCTGGCCCTGGTGCTGTGGGGCAGGTCTGGAGGCCGGGGGGGACTGGAGGAAGTCCTGAGGCAGTTCAGAACTGAAGAAAGGCATCTGGGAGAGACCGTCCCCTCCTGAGACAGGTGCTGACCCAGCAGGACCCCCAGGTCCCGGTGTCTGCCCGACTCGAGCCCCCGACGGAGCTCCGGCTCCAGGACCCATTGAGGCTCCCAGGAGGCCTTGCTGCTCCAGCTCCAGTCTCTGCTGCAAGGCTCGATGGCGCTCCACCTGGAGGAGGACCGAAGAGATTAGAGGAGTGTTTGTGTGTGCGGTCCTCTGGCTGCTGGCAGCGGGGACGTTTACCTCCTGCATGAGCTGAACTCTCTGCCTCTCCTGCTGCTCCCTCAGCCTCTCCCTCCTCTCCCTCTCCTGGAAACCCTCGCTGAACGGGTTGTTGTCATCAAAGTTCACCTGCAGGTCATCGAGACAGAAATCTGTCAGCTCCACTTTATCTACAGTAACGACCTCTGTGGCTGTATCCTACTTTAACCTTTCAAAATAAAGGACAAACACATTCCTGAATTCTGGAGTCAGATCCCTGTTGATCCATGTTACCATCCACTGTTTAGATCTTGGTGCTTTTAGCTCGAGATTTGAACCGGATGAAGGATTTTAGGATTTTAAGTTATCAGAAAAACAAGCTGAGCTAACGTTAGCATTAGCCTCTTGTCAACATGATCTTTGTTTTATAAAATATTTCTGAACACACAAGAACACCGTACCAGCAGGTGGCGCTAAAGTCAACGACACACAGCGGTGTTCTAGGAAATACCAACGGTCCTAAACGGTTCAGGCAGCGACAGGAGAGGA